TATGTTTCGAAACAAGTTGCACGTTTTTGTTGCTCGTTTTACCGTAGCTTTAGCAAAGAGAGGGAGATAAGATAAGGGTTACTGAATTTCCTTTCGAAATTATTTCCTTATCACGTCTAAGGACTGCTTACGTTCCGGAACAATCCCACTAGAAAATCCTTTTATCGACAGCTGGTGCGGCCCGAATATTACTTACATGTTTTTTTTATATATACAGACTGATAATCGTAAGACAAATTCCAGAAAAAAAAGGAGGACAAGCGAACGAATTGCGAAAAAAATATATAGAAAATACTAAATAAGCTAAATTGCCCTTTGTGTGCTTCGCCCGAAACCAAACAGTTGTATATTTGCACTAGGAACGAAAGAAAACTTGGACAATCACTGTAAGTCGTCACTTTAGAACAGTCAATGGGTGAAATACTTCTTCACCTTTATCGCGCGTCTATAAAGCCTTTTTATTTTCCTGGGACTTAAAATTGAAGCCGCGTGAAAAGGGTAGCAAAGGGTCTGTGGTCCACGTGCTCACGAGAAAAGAGTATCGTTGACGTCAGCAAGTACGTCACAAGTGAAAATCGACAGTTAGCTTTTTTGTTTCGTTCCATTCAACCACATTAACTTGTTGCTTGTTAAAGAACGCTTATCGATTGTGCCCCACAGTAAGATATTACATGAAATAATGGGCCGGTCATTAAAGTTAATGACGTCTTCGAATGTCACTATAAAGCATGTTCGCTCTGAAAGCATGTTCCGCCGCCTACATAAGCCTCAGCTGCTATTTTCGGGCATGCTAAACTAAGTAAATTTTTCAGAGAAAAAAGAAATAAAAACGTGTGTCAGAGAGTACAAAGTAAGATCAGGAAAAAGGCATCACAACGCGGCGTTTAATCGTCAGGACCCGCGAACAATTTATCCAACTCTTGTAAGGTGATGTCACACGAGACGATCCGCAACGACGATTTTTAGCGCAACACAGCATTGCAACATTGTTGCGACATTGTTTTGAATGGTTACAACATTGTTCCAGCATTGCAACGGTGTGTTGCGCTAAAAATCGTCGATGCGAATCGTCTTGTGTAAGATCACCATTAAACGCCTACGACTCATTTCTCATATAAAACGTTTCGCAGGAGTTATTTCTCTCCTTTTACCGATGAGTACGCAAGTGAGAAGATTAAAACAAGAGAGAATGATCTTGATTAAAATCAGTATTTTGGTGAAGAGTTGGTGAAGAGTGGTCGATTAAATCAATTTACCAGCATACTTGTGTAAACTTTGTTAATACTATTATTTAGGTGCAGCGTCGCTTGATATCGCGAAAGTTTAATTTGTCAACGGGAAGCAAGCAAGCGTGCCAATATTTTTGAGGACATCGTTAACCTAGTTTTGTTTCTCAGAAACATGGACCTGAAAAGAACCTGTTATGTAAAAAGGTTAAAAAGAAACAGTCGGTCTTGTCTGTATATTCTATATGGTGCCGAAGTCGCGTGCATTCACCCTAACCTCTTTTCATAATTCAACGCAAATAACCTTCGAAGGTTTTGCCTTAGTGAATGACAATACAGAAAACTGAATTTGCTACAGTCACGCTAGTCAAGAATAACTTGCCAACGGGGGCGTTTATTCTTTTGTTTACTTCTTAATTGCTTTGCCGTAAGGACCAGTTTGCCGTTTCTTGTTTAAGGCTGGCCGACCTGATTGCAAAAAATGGCAACAAACAACTTAGGCATTTCACGTCGATTTCTTCAAGTAGACATGAATAAACTTAAGCTATAGATTATCAATAGCACGTGCTCGTAACTCCGTTGAGTTATTTTTCGTTTATACAAAATTAATCTTTGTCACTTATGTTGCTACAAATATACAAGACACTTACAATATCGCAGATATTGTGAAATTTTCTAATTCTGTAACAGGCGACGAACCGACTTTAAAACATGAGGGCTTATTCATTATTACACTCCTTTCAACTAAGTCACTATTTTTGCTATAATCGAGATATAAATTATGGTCCTGACGTGTAATTTTCAACAAGGACTTTATATTCCGACGACGCGACGGCAACAATTACGTCCAAAAAACAAAAACAAAAACAAAAAAACAAAAAATCCAGTAGGTTTGGTAGGGAAAAACAAAAAAATTTTCACGTACATCACACTTATTTGTACATTTCTTTGCCGTTTTGCACGACTACGACGTGAAAATGCCAACTTTCACCTGACGTTATAAGGAGGACGTAAACAAGCGACGATGAAATTTTATTTCTCTTTCTGAACTTTGATATGGTCTCTAGCGACTCCACTCTAGGAGAGTTCGCCTACATCTGACAAATACACTTAACTACTGATTATTCCCCAACCCTGGCAGTAACAGTCGTTGATGAATAGAACACTTAATTCCGCTCGTTCATTTTGCTTTACGACTTCATGTGCAGTCTAAACAACGAGCAATTAAAAGAAAAGTTATCCAGAAAAGAGTGAAATTGTAAATGTTTTAGTTTATCTTCACATACACGTTAAGTGCATCAAGGCCAGTTGCTCCTTTGGTTAATTCTTTCTTCAAGTATTGATAGCGTGTACTTTGACTGACCCGGATACGGCTTTACGGAAGCCATTAGCTGAAAACAGAAAAAAAAAAAAAAAACATTACAAGAGAGCCCTGTTCAAGTTTTGTTTCTCAAAGGTTAATCCTATCTATATTTCAAGCAGTATAGCCGCTAGATTATCACAAGAACTTCAAAATGGACCGATCGAAAAATAACTATCCTTTTCTCTGTGCATGGCACAATTATTGGCAAACAAACATTCAAAATAATATTTTTCAAGAAATCACGAGATAGATATTAATTTTAACGAAAGGCATTCTCAAAATAGAATATATTGAGGTAAAAAGTCCCCCAACTCAAAATAGGATGTTATGATGCAGTCACAAACCAAACTACCCACCCACGTGCATACGTAAAATAGGCGTCAAAACAAATTGTTCCTTCGAGTGTTGTTAAGCGACAAACAGGAAAAAAATGAGCAATATTGATATGGAGTGTTGAGTAGCCAAAATGACGGCAAGCCGGAAATGCCACTTTGACCACACAGTCTGGGAATTTTAAAGAAGCGCAAACACTACGCCGGGAGGGGTGGGGGGGGGGGTGTACCCAGGCAGGTATTTTGGTATGGCTCTGAAGCCACCTCGCCATAGCAATTCAACTTAAGTTCAGGTCTAATCATTCACGATTGAAAAAGCATATCTGTTTTTCGGCATTTAAATACCCATAACGCTCACAGAATATGGGTTGACGCATGAATTTAAGAAACATTCAAGAAAAAGCTCAAACACGCCATCAATGTAAAAATGTCAATGCGCGTCTGGTAGGGCTCGTTTATAATCGTTTGTCTCAAAGTAGTCATGTCATGTTGTCATTGAATCCGACCAGGTTAGAATTCATCTTCATCACTTTGTCAGGCGCTGGGTAGTCCAGTAGTTATCCTATTTACCGACTACACAGCTATTTTGTTCACGTGGGCAAGAAAAACAACACTGTGTAAACAGCGTGTTATGAACGGAAGTATTTTTAAAAAATATTAATATCGTGCTCTATTTATATCTTCTGACACATGACATTATATGTTTGCGCATTATATCGTTTAAAATGCAATTTCGCGCAAAGAAAAACACACCGACCACGCATGACGGTGTAACCCCGTATCCAGCGTGTAATGGCCGTCCCTTCTAGCTCCAGCCCCGTCTCGCTCTGACCTCAGTTGTTCATTGTCCAAAGGTGGATAACGCTATCCACCGGATACATGTTTATTCACTGGATAGCGCACTTGGTTCTCATAACATTTATCCGGTGGAGAGTGTTTTCTATGGTTTAAACAACTGGGCCGGCCAGGTTGACTGAGAGCGCGCGGTGGTGGTAAGGTAACATGTGCCAGTGGGAGTGTACGTGAAATAGTCAGGGTAGCATTTCGACAAAACGCAGGCACTCACGCCGCTGTATGTATGTAGATATATACCGTAAAATTCCGAAAATAAGCCCCAGGGCTTATATTTTTCAAAGGCACTGTTTGAGTAGCCTGCGCGCAGACGAAATTAAATTCTGGTTAACTCCATCCCCCACTAATCAGAGTTTAGTTATCGTCTGCACGCAGGCTATTCTTGAGGGGCGGAGGGAAATTTGCGTTTCAAAGTCGATTGGGCTTACCTTATAGCTGGGAATAAATTTACCATTTTTGCTTTGTTTTACTTTGTATTTGAGAACAATTTTCCAAGGGCTTATATTTGGAGGGGCGATTTAACGGAGGGTTTTTGCGTTGCAGGTTTGGGGGGCTTATATTTGGAGGGACTTATTTTCGGAATTTTACGGTATAACCGCAAGATCCATTTAGAAGAAGTGCTTTCCCGGGCTGCACTGCAACCATGAGAGACGTAAGACGTAAGACGTCGACAATTGTGGCGTAATGAAGAAAAACGCTGATTGGCACGAACCTCTTCAACACTCCTCAAGTATGAAGCACTAGGATTCTACCTAACCCTACCATCTCCCCCTGGACACAGGCTACGATCTACAGTACCCCTGCTTGGTGTTTAGATGTTTCCGAAACAGCACAGTAAAACAAAAGTACTCAGTTCAAACACGTCTGAACGCGTAATTCTCAACACGGGTGCTGAAAAGATAATTAGCGATTTTAAGATTGACAAGCTAAAGTATCGGGGAAAGTAAACCTTATTTCTACTTGAAAAAAAAAATTGAGAACAACAATAGGTTAGACCAGAGTTCGTCCTTTATTGAGAAAAGGCCAAATATATAACATGTACAGTCAAAATAAACGATCATTAAATCGTATCCGCATTGCGCCATTAGATACACAATAACAGGATATTTACAAAAACCCAATATTTTCAGAATATTAGAATAGCACATTTTCCATTTTCTTTCTCAAACTTTTCAAACGTTTTCATCATTTAGTACCTACGACGGGAAAACATTTGTCATTTCTAACAAGATAGTGAATACCTTGATTGTCGTCCCAGATCAGTTCATGTCTTTTTTCGCGATATAACGGTTCGAGGTTTTCACCCCAGTGGTTGCTACAGAAGTCAGGAAAAAAGAAGCCGATCTCCTTTTGGGCGGACTCATCTGAATCTGCAAAAAAAGATCGAAATTATTAGCCGCGCCTGAAATCAGTGTATTCAGGTGACTGGGTGTGTTATTTGGCGACAAATTGTTTAGACTGCGAGGTAGGCAAAAAAAGAGGACGGGAGGGGAGGAGAGGGGAAGGAAAGAAACCCCTCCCCTCCCCCTCATCCCCTATACCTTTCGACGCCTGCCACGAAGGATACGAATTGTTGTAAACGATAACAACAACAAAACAAAAGTTAAATTCTAAAAGGGTTGTCTGTCAAGGCTGTCTAGTTCATTTTGTTAACAGTGCCAATTAGGCGTCCTTTTTAGCTATTCGAAATTATTTGTGAATAAAAATATCAGAGCCTCGTTTCAAACAAGTACATGTTTCTCTCGGAAGCGTTATATCAAATGTTACAAACAACAAACATGAGCTTTGAAATCTGCCTTATTAAGCTAACAAGTTTTCAAAAAGTACAACTGCAATCCGTAGCAAAAAGTAGAACTACTCTTTAATTTCTGCAGCAAATTTTCGCAACTTGCAAGGACCTGATTTGTAGCAAGACACGGGTTTGATTCGTGGGTAGCAAAACGTGCCGCATCGCTATTCTACTCGTTTTCAACAATGTCAAAAAACAAGATGCACGTTTTTGTAACCCGTTTTACTGTACCTGAGAGCGATTTTCGTATGACCTTGAAAAATGGTTTCGGTAAGTGTTCGTTATTTGTTTTATCAGCAAATGAATGAAAAGATCAAAACATGGACTCTTCGTTTTCCCTCCAAGAAAACCCTAATATGGAGAAGGCATTGTTCGATTGGCCAATCGTGTTGCAGTATGACGTCAGAGTGAAGTATCGATTGATTTCTAGAAAGTTCTCGGGAATGAACTTTTTTCACCCGGCGTTTGTATCCGTTCGATAAACCAATCAAATCGCTCTATTTCCGTTCGTTTGTTGTTCCTTTTTTGTTCGCGCGTTATCATTTCAAGGTCATACGAAAATCGCTCTAATTGTTTCGACCAATCACACACGATACGTCACTGATACGAGCAAACATTCTTATTAACCGACCTGATCTCCAACAACGACGAAAAGTCTGAGCCCCAGAGCATTCGACTGGTTTTGGTTTTAATTCGGATCGGATAACAAGGTGGTGCCAAGTTTTTTTTTTTGCCAGCGGTAAACCAAAGTGAAAAGTAACCTTACCTGAACCGTGAGTAGCATTTCTAGTGTCGCTTATACCATACAAGGCTCTGATACTGGTCGGAGCGATGTCTCTTGCTCTGAAAGAAGGAAAACGTAACTGTGCATAAAAATCTTGACAGATACCTTACACTAGCCTGCGTGCAGACGATAACTAAACTCTGATTAGTACCGTCTGCGAAGCAGTGCAGAGATCCTTGTTCTGGACCCCCAACGGACTCAACGAATTACCGGAAGTGCGTTTCGAATTCCCCTTCAACCTGATTGGCGATCACGACAAACAAAACAAAGGCCTTTTTTAACTGGCCAATCGTGGCGCGTACTCAAATCTGGGTACACAGCTGGAAGTCCAGAACAAGGATTTCGGCGCTGTTTCGCAGACGGAGTTAACCAGAGTTTAATTTCGTCTGCGCGCAGGCTAACCTTACGCTTGCAAGCTTAAAAACGATTTCAAGCATATAAAGCAACTTTTAAGTGTTGCTATTCAAAAGTTTCAAATATGGTATGTTTTTGCTTCCATAAGTTATCCAAAGTTGAAAGAGGACAAAGTGGTGATGAAACTTCTCCGTACATCACAAAAATGCAATAACATTTGAAAAACTGTTGCCACTTTCAAAGTTGGCTGCTCTCTTACATTGAAATTTTGTAATCTCAGCAAAGTTTTCAGAAAAAGCAATAATTTTAAAAGACAATAAAATCCAGAAAGATCTTGGTAGTGGTAATCAAATAGCCTCTTTCTAGTGTAACTAGGAATTTTTCTTCCCGAATTCAATTGTTGCAGGAATACTACCGGGTAAGGGAGAGGGACATTAATACATCTTCTGGGTTACCTGTAAGTTTTGGTGGGCCCCATTAGGTCTCGCCAGAGAGTTATGCAGTTTTCCCTTGCAAGTATCATCGCTGTCAATGGTCCACTAAACTGACAAAGAAGAATATTTAGGTTAGGTCTCAAACAAGCATGTGAGTGGTGTGCACTTATGTTAATATATACGGCAGTAGAAACCCCGGTGGTAACTAAAACTCGGATAATTCCAACTCCCCGTTAACTCGAACTAAGCTCCCATTCGTCTCGGATTCCACCTCACGTTTCAGTCATTTTTACTCGGTCCTGCTATCTCGATCTAAATTTCGTTTCCCTTAATCAAAATTTACCCCGATAACTCGAATGCTGGTTCTTGCAACTCTTGTCGAGTAATCGGTAAAAACCCTAAAACTGACACTACAGCAATTTAATTCTAATAAGTGCGACGAATTTTTCACATAATTATTTAAAAGTCATTACCCAACATTATGAGTCGTACCGGATCATTTCGGTTACAGTTTCTGATAAGATAAGTTTAATATGCACTGTACTGTATACTGACGCGCTAAAAAAATCAGTAAACAAACAGTAATAAACATAGCAAAATGACTTTTCAATCGTGCTGAAAAAAATCAGTACACAACCAGTAATAGACATAGCAAAATGACTTTTCAATCGTGCTAAAAAAAATCAGTAAACAAACACTAATAAACATGGCAAAATGACTTTTCAATCGACCTTGAGAACTTGAACCCTCACCAACTAGAACTATTTTCCAATTCCCCTGGGAATTCGAGTTAACGGAGTTCTACTGTAACTGTTACAAGCTCCTAGGCAAGGTGGCAACAGCTTGACTACAGTCATGGAGATCAATTATTATTGTCCCAAAAAGAAGTTCACACAGGTTTACTGTTCACATCTCCTATTTTTCGGTGTGACTGTCGAGGTCAAGGGCCGCTGTCGTGAATTCTCTTGGTGAGCTAAAACTGGGAGGGGCACAAAGACCCAGGTGGATGGAAGGACAGGTGATACACAGGGTTCATAAATAAAATTGCAACCTTTTTTTACGGACTTTTCAAGGACTTTTCAAGGACCTCATTCGATTTCAAGGACCACCTACTAGGAACTGTACAAAAATGCACCTTCCCAGTCCATTCTAATAGGACCTTAAGGTTTGAACTGTTTGCTTCACCAACTTTTCCACATTTTTCAGTTCTCTTGTCTTCAATTGATAGTTAACTATTACATAAAACCGAAAAGCTTTATGCAAATCACCATTAACTTCTCTGAGCTATGATTTATATTCTGTCTTCGACAACCCGAAAAGCATTAAAAAACACTTTCCAGGCCACCACATTCAAAGTTCAAGAAAATTCAAGGACTTTTCAAGGACTTGCACAGACATTTAAGGACTTTTCAAGGAAAAATGGAATTCAAGGACTTTTCAAGACTGTGTGAACCCTGGGTATACCCACCCCCAGTACCCATGGACAATTTGAACTCTTCAGCAATCAAGCTCAAAAATAAAATGGAAAATAGGGGAGAGAGAACAGTCTAAAAATGAGGGGAAGGGAACGGAAGAAATTTTTCTTACACTACAGTAAAGACAATAGGTCTTGAAGAAGTAATTTGTTTTCTGACTAACTACTGTTTAAAAAGGGTCTTGTAAATACAGTCAATGCAATTTAGTATCCTTAATACAGTCAACACTTGGCTTGTGGACACATCACAATTACAAACAATCAACCAATTCACAAAACAGCTAAATTCCTGGTGAAAACTAAGAACAGATGTTTGACTGGAACTAACTCCTGCTTTTACAGACTTTCACTACGAAATCGCTTTCCCAAAGATGGCTGCACTAATGGAATTTGATTGTAGCGAGAGTCTGCCAGTAATAGCGAAAGATTATATTTTCTGAAAAGCATATATTATTTATTTTGGCCAGGATTTTAGCTGCTGTCTATTTTCTTGGGTGTTAAGTGTAGTACTTCAACACCTAAAGTCTTTAAGTCAAAAAACCTTCCTCAGTTAATCATTAACCTAAAGTCAATCTTTGACCATTGAGAAAAAGAAAAAGCATACCGTCTCACCAGTATACACCAGACGGAAAACTGAAAAAGTTTGTTGCTGGTTCTCTCTTTTGCTCTGAGAGCTTTTTCTCCAGTTTTCTTCTCCCCTCAAATACTTACATGTACACTTGGAACAAATTCCAATTTTGATCTGATATGGATGGACACATTTTAACAAGGTCTTGAGAACTCCCAAGTGCTTTGTGGGTAAATAAATAATTTATATATCTTATTACAATATGATACATATTTTTTTTACAATTTTACAAGAGAATTAATCAGGGAGCTTAATAACCACCTGCTCATGAAAGTAATAAGCCTTGTGTAGAAAAAACGTTCTGAAAAAAAAATTAATAACAGTTGAAAAGTTAGTGCAGGGCGGGGAAAAAAACCCAGGTCTGATTGCCTGGGGCAAGTAAATTTTGATGTTGGGAAAGAAAAAAATTTGGTGCCCAGTGGGCAAGAGAAATTAAGGTTAGCATGTCCTGTGAGTATGTCTGAAAGTGTCAGCTTGGTAATGATAATTTCCAAACTGAAGACTGCAAGGTGAGTGACACAATTAGTTGAAAGCATGAATCAATTTAAAATAAAAGTGCACATTTGCCCTCTGGTGTTACTGCTCTGATCACCATATTGGTCAAATCCAGTAGTTACCCTGTATCTGTCACAGTATTTATGTACTAGTACTCTTAAACACTTTGTTATAATCTATAACTTACTATAGACATTACCTCAGAACTATAGATGATAAGGCACTGTGTTCCCTTAATAACATTTAAAGGGGCCATGTCAGCTGGAGAGCATGCGCTCTGAGGTTATGCAAATTACTTTCAACTGTCAAAATTCTATTGTTTTTAACGCGTGACTTTCTCCATGAGCGCTGTGAGGTTATGCAAATTACTTTCAACTGTCAAAATTCTATTGTTTTTAACGCGTGACTTTCTTCATGTTCTCTGTCACGTCCAAGGTTCCGAATTTAGAGAGGTTTAGCGAAATGGGTTTAGGTAAGGGATATTTCGATAGAATTTATGGAACGCTTCTTCTCTGGTTATGCTAGATCAAGAATAAAATAGCGACGACAATTTTACTTGTAGTTTTGAAGTAAAAACGCATGCCATTCATAAAATAGAGCGCAAACAAAAATTCAACAACAACATATTGTCTTATTCAACAAAATAAATGGAAGTTGTATTTTACAAACGAGCTACAAAAGTCGCTAGACCGAAGATAAAGACCAAGACTGTTTCAAATCATTAACAATTAGACTTGTCTGTCGCTATTGATTTTATAATTTAGATGCTGATAGAACAAGAGACCAAGTCTTTGTTTTGATCTTAGGGAAACATACATTGTCGCGCAAAAATTGTTCGATCGTGCCGAATCACTGCGACGTCAAGAAAAACCCAGCATCATTGGTATACTACTCCACCATAAGCAGTCCGTTGATAAAAAGGGAAAGCAAACTCTGCTATTTTCCAAAATTATGCTCCAACACAAACAGTTCAAAAACATGGCATTTACAGGATCTAACTCGTACTAAGGTGCCTCTCTAAAACCGTTGAGAACAATCTGGACGAGCAAACGGTCGTGTTTATCTTTGCCGTGAATCGAGATAGATACAAGAAGGAATCTAGCCGAATTTTAGAATGTTTCCTTCGCCAGGAGTTTAGTTTCACACGAAACTCATGGCCTGATGCTCTTGTAATCGTTTACAAAAAAACGGCCGCCGCCAACTCGATAGCCGCTTCATTATATGTCCACATACTTTGAGCACAAGAAAAATCCAAGAGCCAGCAGCCTCTAAAATAACTCAATAGAAAGGTCCTGTGAACCATAGGGAAGATTCCATCAAAGATTCCATCCCTCATTGTGGAGTAGCCGTCATTAACTCTGCCATTACAACGGCCGCTGATAAGAGGACACAGTAAATCCACCTAAAAACATTCCACAGGCAAACAATTTTAAAATAACGCCAAAAAATTGTTCTGTAATCACCATAGAATGATTCTTAATACAAAACTTCGCTAACTATCGAACGATGGCTGAGATTTAGACAGATAAAAACAGCCTTCCAAAATCTCCGACACAACTTGAAAAAGTTGGGCTGTCTTTTTCAAGTTTGTTTTCATTGGCTCGCGCATGCGTGTTGAGTGACATAGCCCCTTTAAGTGGGGGCAAGTGAAAAGTTAAAATTACTTGCCCACTGGGCAAGTGGATTTCAATTTTTTATCCTGCCCTTTTTGCGAGTTTCCTGAGTGACTCTTAAAGGCGTTTTATATCAATTCAAAATTCAATAAGCAGTTATATTTTATAAAGCCACCAAATATTTTTGTCTTTAAACCCTGTTATCAAACCAAAACAAATTGTGCAATTATATTGCTGAAGAAAATGACCATCATCTCTAAAAAACAAAAAATCTCTTCTAATCAGAAATAATATTTCATTCTAAGCACTTTGCGTGTCAATGACAAAATGCATACAGTAACATAACAGTTGATTTTAGAAGTTTTCATAATTTGTGTAATAATATTTCTTTAGATTTTTTCATGTTGAATTTTTTAACATCATCACAAAATTTAACCCCCTTTGACAAAAACCAGACAGTACCGACTGCAAAATTATTTCCTGTAAAATACAAAAAAATTGCCATTTCAAAAATTCAGCTTCCTCTCAAGTCAATGAGTGTCAAATGGTATTCTTATTTCTACCGAAAAGAGAATAATAATTTGTGGTAATCATGTATTGGTTAGAAAAGAAACAATTATTATTTATTACGTTCCTAACCTTTGTGCTCTTCATAGAACTTTTCTGCTTCTTGCTGGTTTAGCTGTGTAACTTTTGAATGAACGACAAGGAAGCCGTTGTCCTTTATGATCTTCTTCACTTTCTATCATGGAAACAATTACGATTTTGTCACAACAAGTTAAAGTGGCAAGTAGATCTGGGGTAAGAAGGCAGAGGTGGCAGAGGTGTACCTGGGGTAAGAAGAGGGAAGCGTACGGTGTGTTTAGAATAAGATAGGGAAAGGTCCCTGGGGTAAGAAAAAGGCGGAAGTATATCTAGGGCGAGAATGGAGGGGGGTAAAAGAGGGAGAATGATGTGGGGTAAGAAGGCAGAGGTATATCTGGGGGTAAGAACAGAGAAGTGTACGGTGTATCTGGAACAAGACAGGGAAAGGTTTCAGGGGTAAGCAGGGGTAAGATTTCCGCACAGGCCCATCACATTAAACTGATGTATGCTTCGACTTCACTAGCTCATTCAATTTTGTGTGAAATAATATGAGATTGCCGCATGAATAAATGTATGGGACAGCGCAGAAATCTTACTAGAACTTTTCTCACCTTGGTTCTCACTGGGTGCATCATTAAGTCAGGTTTTAGAATCGCCAGCGTCAACTGAAGGCGACTTCGTACAACCATCATGGACGCGCGCACAATAGCCGGCACGAAAATCTGTGCCCGAAATATAAGCCAGGATAATCACTTGTCACTGAGATAAGAGACAGAGAGGAAAGACTTTCATTCTAGAGGTCCAACTGTCTGTTATGGTCCGAAATTTTTCTCGTAAGTTGAAGAAACTACCACCTCTCTTGTCCACGATGTCGATTTGAACTACCAACTTCAGTTCATTTCTCAGCGCGCGCACCGACTGCACTGCGCATTTAGGTCCCAGTATTTCTCAGGGCTTCATTATGTCACGCCGTTTCTTTCCCAATGTGATTTCTTAGTTCGTGAACGGATTTCTTTTTACAAACTGTGGATTCTATACAGTCTGGATAATTTTCTCATTAAGAAAGAGGCACCAAGCGCTGTTTTTGCTTTTTAAATTTCTTGTAGATCTTTTGCCAAGCGTTACGTTACGTCACGTTTTTAGATCACGCATTCTTTTATGACTTCGCTTCCAGTTCCCAGCAGCGGATTTCCCAGTATAGTCTACAAGAATACAAGATATTGTCAAACGTATTACGTACCGTCGCCTACTGTCACTGGAGGATATGACCTTCTGATCCTTCAAAATGCCTCCTATTTTAGCATCTCCCTCGAGTTTAAATAGGCGAAAAACATGGAAGGAAGTTTTCTTTGATGGTCTGCAAGTTTTTCATTTCCTTGTAGCCATGGGTTTTCTCTGGGCAGGAATCGTCGAGTTCATCAAAAATCCTCCTTATTTTGATGCGTATGGGGACGCTTCGACTCAGAACAATCTTCCGGAGGGTTTATTCGAGGTGAATTTAAAATATATAATACTTTGCATAACATCTAAAAACTTTTAAAACGTTTAATTTAAGAGGATGAAGACTTGTTTTGAATAATGCCGCTCATGCTACATGTGTAAACAGGCTTCAATGGCTGTCTCAGCTTATCTATCAATAACGGGAAACTCAGACGTCTCGTTTCGTGTACAAATGTCGACTCATTTTGGAGTTAACATACAAGACCAAACAGTATGGCAGTTTAAAATCACAAAGCTGAAGTATATAGGTGAATTACAATAAATTCATTCATATCTGATTAAAAACTCCAAAAAACTGTTTGTGCTTGAATTAGTTAATTGTTGTATTTATTTATTTAGTTAGTTATTTATCCACTAATAGGTACTAATTTAATGATGATTAAAAACATATAGTGTTAGTTAAAATAAGCGTACAGATTTGGACATGATTGTATTTGCCCAACCATAATTCAATGTTTTACTTTAATTATATCACTGATTCTTCCAGTAGCCACAACAGATGGAGCCTTCTTGCCAATCAAGATTTTTCAACTTTAATTTGCTTTTAATAGCTGGCTGTAAAGGTTTTCTTTCATAATACAAGGAGTACAAAAAGCAGTGGGGGAAGTGTTCTCATTACTACCCCAGAAATGCCAGCCTCTAGAGATCTAAAATCTGTAGACTCTTTCTTTTGCATCCCCCCCCCCCAAAAAAAGAATATATATCAACGACCAAACCCCCTCCTGATAAACAAAAATCAAGCCAATGTGTGAATGTGACCAAGGACATATGAAATCTTACAGGATACACTGATCATCAAAATTCACTTTTATGATTGTAAATATTGCAAAAATAATCTTTGTCAGCCAGAAACATGTGGTGCAAAAATGCCCCAGAAACTGTACCATAAATGAAAAAAAGGAATATTGGGGGGAAATGTGCTAAATTTCAGAGTATAAGAGCACAGAAATGCTCAAAAGTTGCTTTTAGCCAGGAGATTTTGTGATACATGGGAGACTAGGAGATTGATTTTGTAGCCATGAGATGCCCGTATGATCCAGAAGGGCTGGTAATTATATTCTACCCCAAGCATTTGAGCCCCAGTGTTCACATACAAATTTTCAAGACTGATCTTGATGCCATTTAAATATATTAATGTATTAATTCTTCACCCCACAGTTCTCGTATATGATTTTCGTATATTCAGAACTTCATCATCATCCTTTCACAGGTTTTATACGGGTTTAATACGACCATCTAAAGGTGTATTTTTCTACAAATAATTTGTCAATTGTCATCCACTTTGATTACTATAACAATATTATTATATTTTTTCTTTCATCATGTTCAGACTGATCCAAGGAATATCAATAGAGAGGTGAGAAATTGACTGTTATTTAATTCCTGCAGCTATGCAAGTATTGAGATAAAGTTTTTGATCATTACTACTGTACTTATAACAGTTATTGTACATTCCTATGAACATATCTTTTGAAATTCAGATTCATAAATTATATGTCTTGTTTTTTGTTGCAGCAAGCTCTTCGCCTGATGGATTTCCCAATTCTTGCCATGCTGTTTGTAAGTACAACATAGATTCAACATTAAAACCCAGGACATTAAACTAATCACTGGTATCACATATATGGCAGACAAAAGTCTACCAGAAGAATGGAAGAGCCCCCGGGCACAAGTGTTCTTACAGAACTACTTCCAGAATCATTTGAAATCCCTGCTTCTGATTGGTTATGAAATAGCCAATCAGTAACAGGGAATTCAAAAACTGGTGGGACTGGTCAGTGAAAGCCAGAAGTTAAGTTAAAGTCACAAGAAGGAAAGACTGTTTTATTTTAACCATAACGTTAGGTGTTAGTTGTAGTAACTATCCATTCACAAGCATGCAATTAATGGAACCCCACCTTACAGCCACCTCGGTAATGTGGTCACCTCATTATTACGGCCACTTTTTTCAGGCAAAACAGCTATACATTTTCTTATAAAAACCCTCATTAATGCAGTCACCCATTAAAACAGCCAATGGCCGTGTTTTAACCCCATACAGCCACTTAATTGAAGTTTAGAAAATTTTAAAAACTGTGACATGTCAATTTCATTGACCAAGTAAGCTGAGCCTGTTCTTGTTCTGTTATTAGACTAAAATTATGCATTTCTGGCAGTTTAATAGCAGACTTTTAAAAGTGTTCTGTGGACTGAAGGAAAGTTTCAAGTGGTTTTTACAATTATTACTGTACACGATATCTACATTCCAGTTGTCTATTAAGGAGAACAGTTGTTCAAAAAGTGCGAATGTGATATATGGTGTATTTGTTGATTACATGTACGGCCCTTCATTATGGTCATGAAATTTGACCCTGTCCTGGTAATATGGCCACACCGTTAATGACAGCCAAATTTTTTTTATCCATCGGTGACTGTGTTAATGGCTGGGTTCCACTGTATGTAGATCTTGGAGAGTCAATCACTCTCAATGTTATCCACTGAAGGTGTCACACTGGCTATTTAATTTGTTTCATCTTTTCTTGATACAGTCTAATTATATTGCAGGCCTATTTTGGTGTGTGCTGGTGGTTAAAGTTCCAAGGATTAGCTTGGATTCTTACAGCTTGCATCACCCTTGTGTTGCTTTGTTTCTTCGTTGTCAACTTCTGGGCCACCGATCTTTTTGATTGGAGGTAATAGTCTTGCAAGCCATAAGCAATAATTTTGCTACTGTTGGTGACAGAAGGTCAATCAGAATTTCGTTTGTTTGATGTTAAACCAGCTTATAACTTTTAATTTAGGCATTGTTCAGACTTCTTCTAGGTTTCAACATGGCATGTGAATGACAAAAACCAGCCAGTTATTAAGCCTGTATGTTCACTTGTTCACACATCATCATTTTTCTTGCCCATTATTTGCCACAGCCTGGAGCCCATAACCTGGAGCGAGCAAATTCCATCCACTCGTGTCACATCATTTTCATGGACCAGTTTATTTTTAGAATGGTTTTGGTGCAAATTTTGAATATCTTTTAAATTCCACAAACCAGTCAGCAAAACCTACAGACCTAAATACTGTAAAATTCCGAAAATAAGCCCCGGGGCTTATATTTTTCAAAGGCCCTTTTTGAGGGGCTTATTTTTGGAGGGGCTTATGTTCGGAGGGGCTTATCTACGGAGGGAAATTTGCATTTCAAAATTGATTGGCTAGCCTTATAGTTGGAAGTAAATTTGCGGTTTTTGCTTTGTTTTACTTTGTATTTGAGGGCACTTTTCCATTTGGAGGAGCTATTTAACGGAAGGTTTTTTGCGTTACCGGATTGGGGGGCTTATATTTGGAGGGGCTTATACATGGAGGGGCTTATTTTCGGAATTTTATGGTATGATATTTTTTACCTTTTAATAACATTTAGTTGTCCTTTTTTATATCTTATTCTTCTAATGCGCCCATAGACATGGTAGATTCTATTTTCACATGAAAAGGTGCCCTAAAATGTGTCTAAAAATAAACTGGTCCGTAAAAACGCTGTGACATAGGCCAAGTATGGAATTTGCTCTCTCCAGGTTATGGGCTCCTCCTTTTAACTTTGTGACCATTTGTCTTTAACATCGAAAACAATAACTTAAACAATTTAACCACCATGTGGACCAATCAGAGCTCTTGACCAGATTCTGGATAGATTTTACCAAATCTGTACATGGAATTTCTGTCACTGAGGAGCAGACATCTCTGCTGCGGAACAGCCTTTAATGGTGAGGAACAGAAGAGATGGCTGCATTCGCAGACTCTCTACAGTATGAGCTGTCAACAAAAGCAGAGGTTGACAGTTTTGGAGACTTATAACTGCCACCAAATTTCAAAGTTTTACTTAAATTTGACTCAATTTTGTTTGTTGCCTAAAGATACTGATGCACCCTGAAATTGCAACAGATTTAGAGGTTATAAGCAAAAAAAAAATACGGTAAACACATGCCACCTCATACTTCTAGAAAAATCTTAAGGTCACTTTTGGCTGAGCTTAAATGACTAGGTGACAGTTATCTTTGCCTTTCATATTTCTTGGCGATGTATGTGTTCCTGTAACTTAGTAATTTAAATTCTTTACCCAGGAGTTACAAACCAAGAATGAAAGGACTTGAAACACAAGTGTTTACTATTACATTATCCATCACTGCAACTTTTATGGTGTTGTTTTATAAGAGGAGAAAAATGCCATTTAAATTCAAGGTAATAATAGAGACTGGCCCATTTTGTCAAATTGGACTATAGGACTGTTTTTTGGGGGGGAGGGGGTTGGGGGTGAATTTTGACCCAGGTGCAAATTGTTATGTACTAAATGGCCAATAAAATAAGCAATAGTATCCACAAAGCAGCTGTCCCATTAGTATAATATTGTACTATGGGACTGCTTTGGAGATGCTTTTAGCTTCTTTGATTGGCTATTACTCAAAAGTTAATTTGCGTCTAGGTCGATGTTGTCTTGGATATTAATTTTATTCCACAGAACATTGACCCACCAATGACAGTTAGAGTCTTTGTGTGGTCTTTAACATCACAACTTAACTAAAAGACGACCCATAACATTGCAACCTAATTGACCTATCAGGTAGATAACCAGCGTTTAATACCATCTACTGACGTCATATAACTCACTTTGACTCTGAAGAGACTACCGCACAGGTTTTGAAACGTCAGTCACTGTTAGCAACAGTCTTATTCAGGACTACACCCACCCGGACGATCCTGCTCCACCTACTTATGAAATTGTTGCGGTCTGTTGCACAACCTCAAAATGGCTTTTTCAATAAGCAAAATAATAAATGATACTAATCAAATGTGACTTATTCAACAGGCCACTCTACCAATCAGACCATTTGGGAAAATCCATGTGTTCTGCAACTTTGCAGTGATCTTTGTGATAGTCTACTTCTGCCTGATGATGTGGTTCTCTAAGCTGTATGTGTCTTGGGCCTACTTCAACAACTCCAAGGAAGTTTTAGAGTTATGCCAGAGCACAAACATGGTGAGCTTTTTCACAAAACACACTGATGCAGCTTACTGACAAAAAATTTTAAAAACTCAAAATCTCTACACTTGTCCCCTGGCTTATAACTTCTCATACAGGCATTGGAGAGAGCTTATGACAGACAAGAAGCTTCAATAAATTGCCTGTAGTAATCAGATATTACCCACCCAGCCCATGAAAGGTTGATCAAACCACTGGGATCTACATCCCCTACTCTTTAAAAATGGTCAACAGCAGTGTGGGTTCTTTTGTCCCATGACAAAAAGAGCTGTGAGAGGGGGCCTACTGTATTTTGTTTTATCTGAAAAGATTTGAATCCCTAACCACTTGTACATGTTAGAAGAAAGATAGTCCATTAAGGCAGAACCTGTTTGAAGGGTTTGAACCCATGACCTACTGCTCAGCAGACTGGGGCTTAAATCCAAATTTGAGTTAACCAGGCGGCAGTTCACAAACTTGAATTAAAAAACTTATCAATAATTCTTAAAGAAAAAACAAAAGAAATTTATGTAATAATGAGTGTCTTTATATCTAGTAAAGACATGGCTAAACTTTACGTCCAGTTTTTTTAGACCAAAATAACCCCATATCTATGTAAATATTAGAGCAAGAATGAGTTGATCTATATCAGAGCTTTCTATGCCGTTCAAAAAACTCCCAGTCATGTATTATCAGGGGCAAAAACTCTTGGCTTCGCCTCCATTTTTGTAAACCGGATAATACACTCCTGCTCATTTTTTAAACAGTAAATTTTCCACTTATCCTCTTTATCTGACATTTAGGTTCAGTGCTATCCCTGTGACAAACCGGACTTTGATGGAATGAAAGAATGTGTGAAGGAGAAACACCAGTTGTTTCACTGCCAAGATATTCAAAAAGAACAGGTCAGGAAAAGGTTAAAGGAAAATAATGATCTTAGCAATGATTTAGGGCTGGAAAATCTTTAAAAGTTTTTTTTGATTTTACATTGTCAAGAATATTATTGTCAAGATATTTATTTAACGTTGCTGTGATTTCCCCTCAGGGCGCCTTCTGCTTATTCAACTATAATCTGAGTGTGTTTGTGTTCCTCACAGGTACGCTTTAGCTACACCACTTGATTTAATTTAATGTTAAAAAAAAAACAGGCCTGCATTTTTTTTCAGTTACATACTAAGTAAAAAGCTGTAGCGCCGATCAGGGGACGTTGTGTTTTGCATTTGAAAGATTCTAGCTAAGTTTAGTCCTTTTAATCCTTTTCTATCAAATCTCCAAACAGGGGCGGATCTAGGGGGAGGGTGCAGGGGGTGCGCACCCCCCCCCCCCCCCTCTGAGATGACCTGCTGTTTTCTAATACAACTGGTATTCTGCAAAAAAAAATATGTGGTTTATTGGTGTTGAAGTAGAGCAAGAGACGAGAGCACCCCCTCCTAAAAAAATCCTGGATCCGCCCCTGCCAAATGCGTCTCGCGAAATGCCTCCTCCATTTGCGGGAAATTGAACTCTCACGAAGATCAAAAATAATATAGAAAGGAAGACGTAAATGTTGAGAATCAAGTTCCTGTTGTTTAATCTCCATCAGCTTAACAGCAAAATGCTAAGGACAACTACTCAGTACCGTACCCAAAAAAAGACTGTTCAGGTCAGGAAATTAGTCTTACAACAACAACAACCTTTATTTGTACTCACTCTTGCTCAAAAGTAAATTACGACAATGAAAATATCAAAAGTAAAAATTAGAGTACTGGCTGCCTGGAATAACCATGGGGCTAGCGGAGTTGAAAGGATTGTCCAAAGCTCAGAAAGAAAACTTGCACATCGCATTTTTATTTTTAACTCCTGTAGTGATTCTCGTTTTGTTGATTTATTTTCCAGTATTCGCCTATGTTGGTGGCCTTGTGGTGTTCCTCAGCAATTTCTTCAAAATTGTGATTCACTACACGTTTAGAGCGATCTTCCTTTTTATTCACTGGTGTCACGTTACATTTGGAGCAAGGGAAGGGCACAGGACCAGCATGGATCTGCCGGAGATTGTTTCCGTTAATTCTAATTTTAACGTGTCAATACAAGAACCATTCCAATATGTCGAAAGGAATCAAGAGAATGAGACTGAAATTACAGACGATAATCTACATTGTCATTTAAACTCAAGCATTGAGACGTGCAACAATGTGGAGGAAGGGGACTCGCTTGTCGATGCAATGATTGCGTAGCAGATATTGCACAAATTGGTTTACAAGTATTTTTGTAAATATATCAATAGCTAATTTTTTTATCTATCATATTGCTATTTTATTAGAAGACAAAGGGTGACGGTAGAAAAGTTATAAAATTCTTCACTTTACAAATTATCGAGGAAGAAAAGGTACAAGCTGTCTTTGTAAGGACTGGTTAGTGATTGCCGTTGGATACCGCTATCCAACCGTTCATCATCATCATCATCATCATCATCATCACCCTCATCGGTCGACCGAAGAGCAGTCGGCTGCAAGTCGTCTCCAACTGGCTCGGTCTTGGGCCCAGCTGGTTCGGTCTTGAGCAGTGCGCAGGATGTCATCCAATTACTATCCAGTCGTAACTGCTGCTTGTCGGTCCACCCAAACAATCCCAAAACGCGTTGCTCCGAGAGCTTATACCTATTCTTCCCGTAGTTATGGAGTGGTAAATTGTTCTCCCACGTAGCGCTTTATGCAGACGTCATGTACGGATCCCATATGAAAGCTCAATCGAAAAGACTTCAAGTTGGGTTTTCTGGGAAACTGCCCACCTCCCCTCTCCGAAGTCAACGTTTTGTGCCGAGTGAGAAGTAAGTGTTATTGTTGGCTTAGGGGATGGGTAGGTGGGAAGTTTCCCAGAAATTGATCCGAGACTTTTATTATTCGTTACTTTTGACAATTACTATCATTGCCTTTCAAGACAATCATCTATGATCTTTCGTATTTCGGAATAAGCTTTTAAAATATACGCACACATTAAAAAAGAGTCTCATTTTTAAATCAGTGTAATTAAAAAATATCACAACCCTAGGCATACAAATTAAGTCGTCTAGAAACCTTGTTACTGAAGATTACAGAGAACACTATTACCATGATAATAAATATCAGTCTAGATAGAAGCCATTCTTCTTCAATGCACAGTGTTACACCGGGTAAATCAGGTGCAATTTTTCGAGCTTGCGTAGTAGCGAAAGTCGTAATCTGCAAGCCGTTTTCTTTTCTTCGCATTTAGTCCCTGGGGATAAGAATCGCGACGTGACTGACAACATAATGCGGTTTGTTTTCGCCGATAATTCAAATGACGCGCCATGTTGATCACATAATGATGTAATAATTTCCCTCGAATCGAGGCTTCCGTAAGGGGAGGGAGGGGGGGGGGCTATGGGACTCAGAGTTCGTGGAAAGTGGGCACGAGAATCTTCTTTGTTTTACTGAATATCGATAACACATTCAAATAGTTACAAAAGTACAATTTTGAATGCAGCGCTTCCGCTCTCTTGCCGTGCCAGTGGCTGAATTGCTGAGGAACCAGACGTCAGGATGTAAAGAAGCATTTTGCATTACCCTGATAGCCAAGCCTTCCATTTGGCCTACTATGGAGTATGATCTTTGTTGAGCATGCGCTACATGTTGCTAGGATACTTTTTCGGACTCGGGCCTAATATCCGTGCGCTTGGTACAACAGGCTCACTTATGACAATCTTGGGTTTATTGATAAATAGATGCACGCACTCGAAAGACCAGTTTGAAAAGAGTAAACAAGATTGACTTGTCCAGAAGTTCGAGCTGCCGCGACGCCAAAGGCTTGCGGGCGCAATTCAGGCAGAGTGTCCTTTTCTTCTCCTCGATCAAGAAGACAAACAAAGGCTCTGCTGACAGGGTGACTTTACATCCGCTTCAGTCCTTGTTTGATCTCACCTCGACCGCCCCAGACCAATGACAGCACAAGTCAGACAGACAGACCATGACACCGGGGCCTACATCCCCTACTATTTTCGAACGATGTCAGGGGTTTTTTTAAGCCCCCCCTCTACTTGAAGCGTACGGATGAAGGAGACAAGGCCAACTGCCTATCGCCAACACCCAATGGCGTGATAATCACGGCCAGCATGACCTCAGCTCGTGACTTTTTGATGTCGGTAGATACTCAAGACTGTACAATGTCATAATTTTTAATAGCCTGAGAAAACAGCCAATATTTCGCAACGCCATCACTGGTTTCCCCTCGCGGAAATGACGTCTGAGGAACGAGCGCAGAAATTCCATACTGATGACGTGTCACTACCCCGGTCTGGGTAGTGCTTTGGATTGGTCTTGCAGCGTGGGAAACTTGCTTCAACCGATCGTAGGTACAACGCAGTTCTGGATAGTGAGTTATAGTGACATGTTATCAGTATCAGGGTTCGCACTCTTTTTAGCCCTTGAAATTTCTCCAAGACCTTTTCAAGTTTCCCATGACCTTTTTAGCGCTCACTTTCGAAAACTTTCAAAACCTTCCTTCTTTCAGGGGATTTGTTGACCTAACTCAGTTCAGAAAAAGCAAACTCGTGTCCACTAAAATGCAAGCTGTTTGCGAAGTTTAATAACTCGTCTCTATCTTACATTGTCCTTGCTTTGCCATTTGCAGCAACTAACCTACAAAACGTAGCTAACATTTTCCATGACTTTCGAGGACCGACAATTAAATTCCGTGAATTTCCATGTCTGAGAAATGAAATTCTTAAATTTTACTACTTTCCAGGTTTTCCATGACCTGTACGGACCTCGAGTATGGAATTTCGGCGCTCGTTTCTCAGGCGTCATTTTATGGGGGAAACAAGTGGTGTCATCGCGAAATGTCGGCTATTTCAGGCTTTTAAAGTACTCCATTCCAGCCTCCTCCTTCGGCGCGCGAAACGCGAGTGACGCTCAAGGGACCATGGGAAGGAGAAAAATGAGAGAGAGAGACGTCTAGGTACGAGGCAGACTACATGCTGCATATATCTCTACACAAGTATTAACGCACAAAGCTCTACAGGATCTGGAGTCCTAATAGTTCAACTTGCATTGAGACGCTTCGATAAAAATGATTTATTACATCGTAAGATTTGAACATTTTCCATTTACGCTAAGAAATTTAACAAAGTAAAAGCTGTAAATTGACAAACTGCCAAAAATTCTAAAAAGTCTATGATTGTTATCAATTCAAAATAAGCATACATCTGGTATCATTGTAATATAAATCTCTACACTAGTATTAGGCAATACAAATATTCAGTTCTTTTTTTGGGGGATCAAGGAAAAAATAACGAACAAGTCAACTTTTTCTCAACAACAGTGAAAAAATAAATCTCTATAATGAACAATAAAAAGACTAAAATCATTCTCTTATATATAATGCACCCTCGGAGGCTTTGGGGGCATTTTTCGAGTAGACGATTGCGCCCTCGCAGTCTTAGCACTTTTGATTGGCTCCAGCACGTAACTACACTCTTCCTTGCCAAGTGCCCCGGTCATGCATTTGATGTACCTATTAATATGACTCTGTAGGAAGGAGAGTGGGGCGGAACCTTGGCTTAGCACCTGGTAATGAAAGTCCTGAAGGCTAAATTTATCTTTCAATGCATTCTTGGTCTTGTTGCGTAATTCTATTAACGCCAGTCTCCCTAGCATGTACGCGGTTGCTTGTCCTGGGTCGCTCTGGTATCGAGTTACCTCTTTAACTGCAAAGTCTGATGTGTCCCAAGCATACTGCTCAAATAAACTCAGTGCATGAGTCCTAAGTAAAAATAACGGAAATAGCAATTTTACTATAAGATTAATTTGCTATGAGCTTGTTTTCCGTGTAAGAGCGGTATCGAAAAAAGAAACAGTGCAGATAGGTCTTCGGAAATTAATATCTACGCACATCCATATGTTGTCTACTTCACAGTCACAAGCCTTCTCTGACATCCTCTTCAAGCTACAACCAGTTGCAAAAATGATGAGGCACTCCCACGGAAAAACGACCTTTCTTGCTTCAAATCGCTCCTGGTGACAGGTCTGTAAAATATAATACTGACCTCCCTCCTCCCTCCCATTCAAAGTTGTTCCTCCAAGTTTTGAGTATGGTCTTGTATTGCTAGCAACTTTGGGGTGGAGGGGGGTTCACAGGCACAAGATCATGGACAGGCCATTTAAGCCAAAATACGGTACAGTGTCTCAAGTACTTTTGCAACTTGTTGTAGCTCTCTTTAACATTTTTGCCGAGGAAACAAGGAGCACCTAAGGATCGGTTTGCGATATTATCATCATTATCAACATAAGGGAGCTTAAGCAACGACGACGGCGACGGCAACGAGAACGGCAAAAAGGAAATTGGTTTAGATTAACAAAACAACAACTTTGCACGAGCATCACGCTCTCGTTCTTTGTACATTTCTTTGCAGTCGTTGCACTAATACAACGTGAAAGTACCTAATTTTACTTTGTCGAGGAAGCGAACACAAGATAACAACTTTCTTTATCTTTTCCTCGACTTTGATACAGTCCTTTAGTATTCAACTTCGACAAAATTTGCCAACATTTGACGTATCAGACGAGATGGAATAAGCGCGACAAAGTTTGAAGCAGTGCGATCAATTCACTTTTTAAGTGACGTTTTCGTAGCCGTCACCGTCGTCCTGGTTACATCACCACCACCACCACCACCAATTCTTATTACACCAATGAGACCATGGGTCATAAAGTGGTGTACTTTCAACTTTATTTTTCGAGGGCGGCACTTGACAGTATAAAATACTGATAGAATCGTATACTTCTTCCTTTTTCACACCCAACACGTCTACCGCACAAGAATGCGCGTCTATTACTCGAAGCCAAATCTAAAGAACTAGATGCTCTTTGCTAGTAGCTCAAACTCTTGACCATGAATGCCGGTTTATTTTTAAGGATATGCTAGAGGCTTCAGCTTCCGCTGGCATAGCGCAAAGATTCTCAACCTTCTTCAACAGCGTGAGTGCCAGGGTTAAAGATTCTTCTCGATTTTAAGAAACTGAATCGGCGATTCAAGCTTAAATAAAGCTTACCTGTTTAAGCCACGTGAGTGCAATCCTGTGTCCACTATCAGCCGTACAGCACGCCAAGTCTGTGCACGTGATAAAAAAGCTGGTTTACCATTTACAGAAAGATTCCAGAAAAGGCACCCCGGAAAGCTTCACTGTACTTTTATTCACCAGAATAATTAGCAGGGTTATGTGTTTGAAGGACGTTACAGCTTTCTCCCGATCGCAAAATGATAAAACTTTTCTAGCATTTGATAACTTGTTCCCGCCACTACGACATTCCCGCTAAAACTCGTAGTAGAATGACGACGGCTATCATGTTTTCCCGCCAAAATAACACTGGTTCACGCGCGCACCACTTAAGCTACATTCAAACGGCAACGGACACTTCGTTCATACCGGATCTTTCAATATTTTCGCTCTGTTCACACAAACTTTGAACGGCTAAGCGTCCAAATTTTCGTACGGTGAAGGTGGTTCCGTGTGAACGCAACACCTAAACCTACGAATTTTCAACCGCGTCCGGTACCGTGTGAACAAAGATTTAGTATTGACAAATAGGAGCTTAAACAAAGGCGTTTCTAAGCGACGCAAGTCAACCGGAAGTGAGATATTTTTTATTTTTAAATAAATTGACAATACTAAATTTGTATTTCTCAGTCTCTTTCTTATTATAGACGGACGATTTGTCCAAAAAATTGAGCAAAAATACCGCTCAAAAATGTAAAAAGGCCACTTCCGGTTGATGTGCGTCACTCAAAAACGTCTTTGTTTAAGTTCACTAAAATCTCGCTCTCGCAGTCGTTCACATCTTAGAATCTAAAGGTCTCTGTTTACTTCTGACTGACTGACCTGCCACTTCAGCATACCATACTTCTGCAGAAGGTTATCTTTATAAGTATCTGTGTCATCAGATAGTATTGGGTTTTCACTGTACAGACCCCATCCCTCGGTAAATGCCGTATAGTATGTGTTCTTGTCTAGCCAGGCGGGAACACCACCACACTTGTCAGCAAAATGCTCTATGTGACCTGCGGGCAAAATATCAAAACGGTTTACAGTAGGAAATCGATATCATAAACCCACTATGTAACGTATTACCCCGGTACAACGAATGATTATCCTCGTCTCAGTTACAGTAAAATTAATACAGAAAAATCCCGATTTCTCGATGATTGGGACCAAACCTAAATTCCCTTCGCCAGTTTAACACTATCATTCCAACCACTTTGCTTTTTCCAAGGTGGTTCGAAACACCAGGATTCCACAGTATGGTAATATCCAGATGTAACGAATCCTCATTTTAATGAATACAATTTCCTGTTATCTGTTATATCTGGGTTGCATCCGGGGCCAACAGGGGGTAGTAGTACATAGGGAATGATTTTTATCTCTCCAACTATAGTAAAATGCATGGGACAACAGCCCGATATAACATACCCTCGTTATAACAAACACATTTTGCACTGTAACTGTCATCTCTCTCTCTCATAAAAGTGCCAAAGGCAAAAAGCAAGAAAAATTAAAATTTCCATGTCTTTAATACATGTACTGACAAGCAAATGCTGCCATGCAAAAGCACCAAAGGAAGGAGTTACCTTTAAGAGACTAAAACAACTGCTGAAGAGTTTTCACCAGAATGGTCACAGAAACAGAAGGCTTTCGTCCACCGACTCGAAAGATAGTACTACGTACTAAATAAATACAATGAAGTACTATGTGAAAGTACTGCTGGAGAGATTTCATTAGAATGGTCACACCATTAGATTGCGTTCACAGGCTCACAAGCTAGAACTTCGAACTAAATAAATAGTTCGTGCAAATAGTTAGTAAAAGCACTGCTGAATAGCGGGTTTCAGCCGAGTGATAATTTTAATATCGTACAATTTCAAGGTTACAGACTTTTACGTTAGTACAACTTACATTTCTGTATTACTACCGTTGGCAAGTGAAAACTATTTGACCCACTTTTACGAATGGACAATTTGAAACGAAACACCTCACTATGGGCGTAGCCTAACTCCTTGAGAGAAAAAGCTTACCTTAGGATACCTGCGGACGTCGTTCCTATTGCGCGTTTCCAACAAATCGTCGGTTTTTTCAACGAAATCGCCGCAGATCAAGAATTGTTTTGCGTGGCATTGACGTTAACAGCGAGCTCTAGAAACCACAACAACGACGACGGAAACGAGAAAACACGAAAAAGCTAAAACTTAAAACTCTGAACGTGTCGCACACTTTTTGGCAGATTTCTTTGCCGTCATCGCACGACTCTAAAGTTGTCAAATTTGATCGAAATGGCTATGCGATCGTCGCTTTAATAACTAAGATCGTCGTTTCTGCAGTAACGATCGTCGCGACTTCGATTTCGTGGGAAATACCCAAAGAGAGTTTCAAAACTGAATGGCATGCGCGGCGCCTACCTTGAACCTGAGTATGATGGCCTGGCCTGGATTCGTGACCAGTGACAGACCACTCTTGGAAAATTGGACCAAAATCTTTAAGAAAAAACGGGAGTCCAAAGTATGCCGGTGAAGAACAAGCTGCATCAGAGCTCCTGAAAAACTGGGCGCCATTGGAAGGATTATAATGAGGAAGCATCTCAATGGGGCAGTTGGGAGCAGTGACCTTTGATCCAGTGAAATAGAAGACGTTTGTTATTTTGGGATAGAGCATACCCATCACTTGACGGCAGTACTGTGCCCATCTACAATTAAGATAACATTAAACTTGAACAAATTTATGTAATAGAAAAAAACAAACAACAAACAAAATTTCTTTCCGTTGAGAGGGTAACACTTTAAAGTTTCAAGAACCGATAAACTTGTACGTGACCCACTAAGCCTGGGGGTGGCTTCTTATGATGGCCTATACGGGGAGGCTGCGCCCGAAAAGGGTATCTTTTTTAGGCTTTAGGTATATGACAGACTAAGGATCTTCCATTTGCCAATGGAAGATCATACGAAAGGGGCAGCTTTTCTGTTAAAATGGCATATACAAGGGTGATGGGTTGGACCTCAACTAATTGATGACACTTATTCAAATAACGTTTCAATAACCGTGGCCTGTTGGGTTGATTTTAACACATGAAGGTGATTCGCATGCGTGCAAGCCTCCCATTTCCGTTTTCGAGCAGCGAGAGAGAATGCACAAACGAGCCACGCGAGAGAACGCAGAAGCGAGCTACAAGAAAGAGCGCGCAAGCAAGCCGCGAGAGAGAACAGGCGAGCGAGTTGCACGAAAGAACGCGCAAGCGAGCGACCGAAAGAGCGCGCACAAGAGAGCCACGAGAAGGAACGCGCAAGCATATCCCCCAAACAAAAGGCTTGCTCGCAGGCTACCATGTGGTTTAAAGATTATAAATCTACACCTACTTGTTAACAGCTTTCCATCTGACAGGGCAGTACTTTGCTGCTGTTTCAGGATCAACACACGTCTTGTATGCGTATTCGTTTGATTCATTTACCGGAAAAGAGCCATTATTATGCCACATGCTGCGGGAGTCCAAGATCTTACGGAAAGCTTGAACCGCTTCTGTCTCATCCGATTTGTTTGTGTACTTCTTGGCAATATCTATAACCTGTAACCAAAGCTTACGAATTATTGTAAGACTCTTACTCCGTCGCCATTTGTGTTTTGGGGATGGGAGAACACTGGAGTTACGTTGAGGCGCGCGGGGACTCGTAAGAAGGGGCGAGGAGAAAATATAGCTACTGTTCTTCGTCCCTTCCCATGACACCCCACGCACCTCAACCTAACCCCAATCTTCTCTCAACCCAAAACATAGCCTGCAGTGCAGGCGTTTTCTTCGGGCGGGCAAATGTTTTTGCTCGCGAAAGCGCCATGTTGAAACTTTCCGAAGAGAAGAGGAATATTTCCACTCTCCCCAATCTTCCACTGTCTTAAAATCAAAGATGGCGGCTATAACAATATTACGAACACGAACAATGTTTCGCCCACCAAAAATACGCCTGCACTGCAAGCTACCCAAAACACCATCATGTAAACAGCAAATGGGTATGAGTCTTTTATTATTAGGGAGCTTAAATAAATACGACGACCTTGGTACCCTTAAGATCCGACAACGGTAATGAGAACGTAAACAAGAACGTCAGGTTTAATTAGTAAAAAAACTGTAAACGAGTATCACGCCTTACCCTGCGAGCAGAGGTTTCCATCTTGCATGGCATTCAGCGTTTAGGAAGTCGTCCGCATCGCTTATCAGTCGCGTAGTTGGTTTGTTTTATACCCCCCAGTAAACCAAACCAACTACGCGACTGACAGGCGATGCGAACGACTTCGTAAACGCTAAATGCTATGCAAGAGAGAAACCTCTGTTCGCAGGGTAATCACGCCTACATTTGACAAAGAAAGAGAGTTGCAATAAATATATGTAAATAAGATCATCCTAGTTAAAGACGCAGCTTATGCAGTTGCGAAAAAAAAGCCTGAAAAAAAAACTCAGGCCTGCCGGGATTCGACCCCTGGCCCCTGCGACACTGGGACTGGGACCAACTGGGAGCTGGTCAATGCTCCCAGATGGCTTGCTTACTCAAACTAAGGGCCTGTTTACATGGAGGTGGGGAACCCAAGGTAGGTGAGGTAACCCGCTTTGGTGGGTAACCCGCCTGTCCACATAATCTCTCATTTTAATTTCATCACGTTTACATGATAGGTGGGGTGACCCGCCGCATATTATCCTATCCGGGGTCCCCCATCTCCAGGTAAACAGGCCCCAAAAAACGGTGGCGCCATCCTTATACCTACCCAACCTATCTGCAAATCTATTCCAGTTTTTTAAAGAAAAGGCTTACCTGATCATAGAAAAACTTCAGTTGCTTCTTGCCTTCATCAAAAATTTCCTCAGGTGAAATGTCAGTTGTGGTGAAGTAGGAAAGAATCAACTTGTAGCTTTCGGTACCATTCAGTCGTTCCCCAGTGGGCAGGGTCTTGTTCGTTGGTTGGTTTATATCTGGTGTGCCATTAATATACACGAAATCCACAGGCAGGTTCGCCAAACCACTCGCCAAGTCATTTGGGAGACAGTGACTTTTGTGTTCATTATCAAGGTAGTTGATCAAGTCCAACAGCGGCTGGCCAATACCTTCTTCTAATGCCTTGACTATTGATGCATTTACATTCTCCCCATTATGGGCCTTGGTCCACTTGTCATCCACTCCACTGGCAATTTTAGCTAAGTAGTCGGTTTTCAAATAGCTTTTAGCAAACCATTCAGCAACAATGCCAGCAGCCTCACCAGATAAGGAAAGCTGTCTGTAAGACTCTTTCAGGGCATCTACACCGGCCTGGCAGTCAATCTCTGTGCGAATCATCCCTGATTTCACACCAAGTTGAACATTTTGTCTGGAAATAGAATAAAAATGGCAATAATCAAAGCTGCAAATAAACGTCCGTCATCAGAAAATGTCTGCCAACTAAGACTGTTATCGGACCGGAACAAAACTTTACACAAGATTAATTTGCAAATGAATTAGCGCACGTGAATATTCATGCCACTGATACAGCATGCAGGGCTTATGGCAGAGTACGACAACTGTCACAAGTAGTATAGAAGGGACCAAATTTCCCTTTTTTACAGTGAAATCTCTTTACCTTGCAAAATAATAGATTTACGTTTATGACATAACTGATTTGACAGGATTTCTGGGTTATTTCAACGTTCACGGTTTTCTGAGTTTGATAGTAATTTGTTGATCCATGTTGTCAAAGAATTAAGGGCTAACTTGCTGTGATAACGTTATTTCCTGCGGCTTTCATTGTCTATAAGTACAGGAGACAATTGTTCCAGTTCCGGTTCACTGATTCCTGGTGCACAATTCATGCATATTAATGAGGGCGAAGGCAAACTAGCTCTTTCTACCACGAAACACAATTCTCTACTTACCCCTCCCCCTTCTTGCCTTTACCACCACCACCACAACCATCACCAAATTTCTATTGTTTTCCCTTCACCACCATCATCACATTTCTGCTGTTCGTCAAAAGTTTCATTAAAGGCGCAAACCAGTTAAAGCAATCACCTCCACCTCATTTATATAGTTTTCCACCATCACCACATTTCTATTGGTTTGCACAATTTTCATGAAAGGTGTCACCAGTTAAACCAATTCATTTGACCAGCTACTAGGCTTACCAAAATTGACTGCGTGAGCGCCGAAGGCGCGAGGGACGCTCCCGAAGCGAGCGAGGTAAGTCGAGAGACGCCCTGTTCCGTCTGCAGAAGATTGAGCTTAATTTTCATAATGTTGGCGCGAAAAAATGGTTTAACAGCCGTATGACAGCCCGAAGGATGAACAGTTCTCATATGACTAGATGGTCTGAACACCGAGATAAATAAATATGACCTGCCCAGAAACAAAACCGTTTCCCGGGTCAGTCTTTGTCCTAAATCGAAAGAAGTAACTTGTATCTTGAGTGTAGAAAGTCTTTGAAATTCGAGTTTTCACCGAAGGTTTCTTGCGGACCACGCTAAGTCACCAGCTCGCCTAAACTTAGAAATCCTCGTCGGCGCGAAGCTGCGCATAGAAAGGAAAGCTGTTCGACTGAAGTTATTTGTGGAAACTGTGCCAGAAGCAACAAAAACATGGTGAAAAACTAAGGTCCTTTGGATAAGAGAGCAATTTTTAATACCTCGTCGAAAGACAGGCTGGCACAGGCAGAGGTCCGTTCGCAGACTGGTATGTGGCTCCATACCCTGGGTGCCAGAGGCTTTTCATGCGCGGTTTCCGGTTTCGGTCAAGTCTTAAAAAGCGGCTTCCCCGCTCGTGTCTTCTGCCAAAGGCCGAAGACGTGTCGGCCTGTGGCCGACGAAGCTCCTCGTCACACGCGAGAAAAATCCTCTGGCACCCAGGGTAGTGGCTCCATCGAATCGGTCAAAAGGTAAATTTAAGACCCTAACGATCAATTTCGCAGCGAACGAAAAGCCCTCGTATTCAAGGAAACTAGCATCATTGCTCAACCTATTCCCTCGGTGAAATCAACAGCAAAGTCCGTATGGCAGGCGATGTGAAATGTTAGGCTTCTCTCTGAGCCTGTCGACCCAACCATAAAAAAATCTCCACCACTAACCTACCCTCTACCACTGTCCTCTGATTCTCTCTAATTTCTTTGAAGCTAAGTTTCCTTACACCGGCCGGAGTTAACCGCTTCGTGTGCGTTCATTTCCTACGCTTCCTTCACTTCAAAGCGAAGTGAGTGCCAAGCCAAGGATTCGCTTGGATCAAGTTTCCCGAGTACGAACGCAACAAGATCAAGAGTTTTTCCTGATTGGGTATCCCGAACACCCTCGTCACACCGCTCGCCAGAAAACTGGCCAGTCAAAAATAGCGCGCTGCAGGCGAGAAAACATCCGTTTCCCGGCTGACCACCTAACCAGCAGAAACCGGAAACAGGCTTTAAGAAAGTCTAGACTAGCTACATGAACCTGGAATTCCACCGGCTCTGCTTCACAGTGGAACTCAAGCAGTAAAAATTGTAGAGAACATGTCAACAAAATATAAAAACTTTGTCCAGAGACAATAATTGTCTCCTGTCACTACTAATTATTAATAGTGAGATCTTAAGTGTAAAAAAATGTGTCACCTAAATTGAGTACCTGTAACGGTCAATTGGTGTCTTGTGTTTCCTGATGGTGTCAATCACCAACTGGACATCATCATAGGTCTTAGGTTTTACATGAAAAGCAAAGGTATTGATATCCCAAGCAAGAGAACAAATAGGCTGCCAGCAAAATAAGTCGGGACCTAACATCCAGTCTCCTGCATAGTAATTTTCAGCATATGGAACACCAAATGTATGCTGTAGAAAATGCTTCACCTTTAAGAAGAAAAGACAAAAATGATGAGCATGCAGCATGTGAGGAGGCTGAAAATCTAGCCAGCAGGCGCAGATCCACACCAGTTTCCACCGTTTTATGAAAATCAGTCAGATTTTAATAAATAAAATAATTTATTTTAATAAAAATAAAACTTTCCAAGTCGAAGACTGGCCAATATCCTGTCTGAATGACTCAGAAACCAAGGAAAGGGGACTTTGAGCAATTTAAATCCAAAACATTTCCCAAGGAAGAGCATGCCCTGGACCCCCTAGAGGCTTGCACCTTCGGCGCTCATTCAGAAAATCTGTCAGTATGTATCCTAGATATGCGCCTTAAGTCAATGTCTTAAGTCAAAATAAACAAAAAATACAAATTTCTTTGCAGAAAGCTGAAAAACAAAATAATAGTATCATGTGACAAGTACTCAAAACGGAGGAGAATTATGAGACAAAATTCAATTTGGCACCTTTGGTTTCTAAAATGGAGGTCATAAATCAAGTCCCTTAATGACTCAGAAAATTGACTACCATAACTTGTGACAGTGTATGATGTTGTGAGTCAACATGAAATTTAGGTTAAAATGGTACGTTTTGACCGAGACGGGTTCTCAGTTTCCATTGTAGTAACAATGACTATTTTAGACCCAAGAGACAGGACACTGAGGAATCAAATCAAATCAAATCAAATCAAAAACTTTATTTTACTTTCAATTTCAAAAAATAGCATCAAACTAATGCTAATATCTCCAAAGGTAAAGCAAAAAAATAATAATAAATAAATAAATACTGTAAGTAAATTAAAAAAAAGTATTTTGAAACAGTTTTAACCTGCATGGATTTCATTTCGACCTGCAACTGTTTTTACCTTAAACATTTAAGCTGTATGTTTAAACTATTTAATGAGCACATATTGTAGCCATTGCAAATGATTTTAGGGGATGATTACTCCATTAAATCAAACATATCAAAAACTCATGGAACTTTGTATCAGGCAGGGAAGGGGTGAGCAATTTGACATAAAATAAGGACAAACAGTCCTTCAGTCTCTCAGCTAATTTATAAAACACACCCAATACCTGAACAAGGGCTTTCACTTCTCTTGGCTTCATTTTGTTTTCGTCAATCTTAATACTTGTTATTTGTTTAAGTAGCTCTAAGGCTCTGTCTGTTTTCTTCTTCAGTTGTGCTGGATCTGGGTTATAAGGGAAGTACCTGAAATCAAACAACAAATTAATCAGTGCGAACTGACAGTTTTTTGGGAATTTTCCTCCTTTTGTGATGGAAAAAAATGTATTAACTTTTATTCCATCAAAAATAGGCCATTTCTGGGCTCCAAGACCCTCACTTTCAAGATGAAGCCAAGTGCAAGACCTGTCTTGTGAAAATGAGTTTTATTTTAAAGAGAACCAGGGGCTTAACACTTATTGTATTGCTATACCTGCCAACTTTTTTTTAATTTATAGGCATGACATTTTCCTCCTGAGAGTGCCAGGATTTTTTGAAGGGTTCCGATAATATCCGAAGTTGTCCGAAGACGTTCTGTTCCGAAGAGTTCCGTCTAACACAAACACAAGAACGCGACCCTATCTCCAGTGACTTTCCCTACTAAAATATGAGAATTCAGAGAAAGTCAATCATTCACCTGGACTTTTCTCTCATTGGTTCCAGTTTCTTTAAATTATTAATACATTTTTCAAAAATGTGTAAGTTAATGCTGTAATGGTTCGAACTTTTCTACCAGGCGTGAGAAATTTGAACACAGGCATGAGTAGGTCGAGATCGAAGTTTTCAATCCACAGGCGTGACAATCTCACCTTAGGCATGACACTTGGCAGGTATATACTGCTCAAGATAACTATAGCCCTTTTTCAAATAAGCCCCGCCTTTAAGTTAATGTCCAACTTGAGGCTAAAAATATCATAGCATGACCCTGAGTCCTCCTAGAATCCACCCCAAAAAAGAAAAATTCCTGATTATACTCTAATGAAGTAGGATATAAGGATTTTCATTAAATAAAACTGAAGTTTTCAATTGAAAGCAACATTTTAACAACAAAAATGGCTCCTGTTAAATTGACCAGATGCAAAACCCCTAAAATGAGGAATTCTAAGGATGATTTCAAGAAGCTACAGGGGAGAAAAGGTATCAATTATAGTTGTACTTCAGTGAGATGCACAAAAAAAATGAACTTTAAAACCATGTTTTAAGGAATGGATCAAGTTCTAGTATACACCAAAGAAACTGCCAGAACTAAATTTTCCTACAAAATCAGCCTTGCATGGTCACTCTGATGCACTTAAATCAAACTGTCAATCAACAAAATGAACCTACATTGGTTCCCACATAAAAAATAATATAATCAATGTCTACGCATGAGATAGCGACCTGTATATGGTCACTGACTTTCATCCAATAGTAATTTAGAATAAAACTGCAATAAATGAAACTAATTGTCAACAAAATATTGCTAAAAGGGACAACTAATTCCTCATCCACAACAATTCTAAAAGATGTTAGGGATAATGAAAAAGCCTGGTCCACTGCTACATTGAAAAAGTCCAGTACCATTAAAATAATATTGCTAATCTTTTCAATAACATGTATGTCAAAAATTTACCCATTTGTTACGTGAGGTGAGGTGCCTACCAATGATCCTTGCAAAATATAAAAACAAAATGGATTGATTTTTTTTATCAAAACCAACAGACATGACTTTTTGGACCAACTGAGGGCAAACTTTCCTTTTTTCCAGAGAGGTCCATTACGTTGAAGGATGGAAGTGAAAAAAACCTGAACATTACTTAAATTTGCCATATGTTGCTGAAGTGCAGTAAAGTACAGATAAAATTATGGATTAACTTTGAGAACAAACTTAATCGTGTTTTAATAACGAGGCATTACCTAGAGGAGACATGGGCAAGCTAGTGCAATAAAAGGCATTATTGTGTGCCAGTCTTTGACCCCCCTCTGCTTTAACCTATTTACTGACATACCTTTCTGACAAACTTTTCAGGTCATATTTATTTTCATCTTTTTACCTTCCCACTATCAGACCCCCAGCACCCGCCCCCCCCCAGAGTACTCCCTATCATAGCCCATACATGGAAGCCCCAGCCTGAAATGGGGACCTTTTGCAGCCTACAGGTATACAAAACGGTAGGGATTTATTAGTTGAAATATATAAATGGATGGAGAAATCTGCCATTTCAGTCTGTAAAAGGACCCAAAAGGACTAACAGACGCATTTTATGGCTGTGAAAAAGACAAGAATACTTCCTGGATATGTGAGTTATTCATCTTTAAAAGACATGCAATGCATTTAGAGCAGTCAAAGTAGATGCACTGTTCTTAACTAGGTATGTGAAAGCGGTACCATTTGTCAACAGATCATGTATAGGAAAGAGGTAGGAGCGTCCTTATATAAAACTCTGTTGCGTAACCCAACAGGAGCAGTGAACTCCACTGGGCTTCTTCCACCTAACCTTCTTAAATCACAGTATAGCGTGGAGCAGCGACTTGGCCTTGTACAGGGAAGTATAGTTTTTCACTGCATAAATTAAAGTCGCCCTCCCCTCTAATCGTCTCATTGTTCTTTGAACATATTAATGAATAGCAGACAAGTGTCATCCAGGTTTTCTCCGTAACAATTACCTCTTAATTAAGCCGTGGTTAAAGAAGGAACAGTAAGGAAATACACGGACTCATCAAGAGTACATCCAAAAGCTAGGGCGCGCAGCGTGAACAAATTTTTGTATTATTTTAATTTAAGCTTACACAAACATTAGTAATCTCTATTAAGTTTTAAATTACTCAAGCTACAGTACCTTTGCTTTACATGCTCATCAGGTTCTTCAATATCTGGTTGCCAAGCCACGCTGTTCGGATTCAGAGCATAGTACTCGGTCTGCACTTGCTTTAAAAACTGGCGCAGTTTTGCTCGCTTTGCTTCTTCGGAATACAGGCACATTTGAGCCGCTCCAGCAGACTTCCCAGGTTCTGCAGTCGTCGTGACACAGGACGTTGTTGTTGATTTTGTTGCACCTAGAATCACACAGACTAATCCAGCCACAAAAAGCAGGAACGCAAATACTAAAACTACCCAAAGCCAGACGGGGATAACTGCGAGCTTTCTCTTGTTACTGAACGCGATCGCTGTCCATTTTTCTTCCACTTCTTTCTCAGAGGACGATTTCTCCTTCAGCACTTCCACCGACTCGGAGTCTTTCTTCATAAAGACACCTTGCATTGTGACGGTCAACACGTTGTCGCCCGTTCGACCGACTTCGGACGTCTGAAAGCAGTATCAGGCTAGTTCGAAACAATAAAGAAATCAGATTTTGAGCCCTCTTTCTGTCTTACAATTTCCGAGCAGACCGTACCAACCAAAGCGCAACGTAGAGAGGATAGAAGCGTGTAGTGTTTGTTTGTTTTAAGATTCGAGCACTCTGATTGGCTGTCGCACCGCACAGACGCCCTGGGCCCAGGGAAAAATGCACCACAAACTTGAAAAGCACTTGTAGATCCTTGAACTGCACTTCACATTTTTGATAAGAAAGTCTCGCCAGACTTCGCGGACTTTACGACACTTTTTCGCCCTTATACCATGGATAATAGAAAAAGTTTTTCTGTTACATCCATGCTTATACCACGTCACCACTACCCAGTTACTTCAAAGCAAGGAAGTTACTCTCTCAGGTTGAAGCTGAAGAGAGGGGGCTCTGTCCAAGTTCAAAGAGAGTTTATAGTAAATCGTCCCTGCTCTCCGGAGGTCAACTCAAAATTGGTCATTTCACGTTCTAGTTATGCAGGGACAGTAAGGAAATGTACAAAAAAGCGTGATAGACGTGCAGAGTTGTTTCTTTGCTCATAAAACCTATTGGGCCAGTTTTTTATACGGAGTTTTAGTCAGTGTTTAATAAAACCCCGTTCTAAGCCATTTTCAGTTTGCCGAACGCTTTTATGCAAACACCATTTATTGTGAACAGTTTTATGAAAACATATCGCCTAGACTAGAAAAGCATTTGTCTTCTTAAAATGACCCACTAAAAAAGAGATCCGAAGGTCCAAAGGTCTCCAAAACCGCAGTCTCAGTTAGTCTTCGTTTAAATAAACGTTCCCGTCCTAATGTCGTAAGGTCCGTTTCAAAACGTCACCTTCAAATAAAAAGTGATATGCAGAAGATCGTGGCGGGCCGTAGTCTCTGGTTCGTAGAGTGTTTAGTTGTATTTTACGTGTTTAGAACGCCAATGTATATTTGAAACAGAATCGCAAGATATGTAGCCTGAATTTCATCCGATTACTTCGAGTCGTTATTACTACTCCCTCAGTAACGTAGCCTGCGTAGCATGGCGGTTTTGTCGAGCCGGGCGCACGAGCGGTGAAGCCGGGAAATTCGCGTGCGAAGCGTGCGAGAACGAGCGGCGAAGCCGCGAGAAAAATAAAAACCTGCTCCTGCCCCAATCTCCTCGCCGTTTTCCTGCCCTCGCCCGCCTTTATTACTTAGCAACCGAAACCGCCATGCTACGCAGGCTATCAGTAACGTCGTTACCGAGACGATAAAACGAATCGAAGCAATCGGATAAAATTCAGGCCACAAGATAGCGCATTTTATCCTTTTTTAGTCACCCTTGGAAATTTCTGAAGGCTTTTTTGGTCGATCATGAGCCCCAGTTTGGGATCCAATCAAAACAAAGTGCAAGTCTGTTTAACCCATTTGCCCCTGAACCGCCCGTAGCCGCCCGTGCGGATCCAGGTCCTTTCTACCCTTTGTGACGTCATCAGTTTTAACGGTCAAGGACAACTTTTTTCGCTAACTTGTGCAGGGTGAAGAGATCTTTCAAACCATACCAGAATGAGCACAATTCAGTCAAGGACACCGGAGAAAGAAGCAAAAAACCACGTGACAAGGACCTGAAAATCTCCACGAAAATCTTGTTCCATTACCCACCTACCTTTCCTTTCACCTAATCCTAAGATCCTAAAAGCTTTCCTAAAAACTCTTCCCACCAAAATGAAGCCTACTAAGAAAAGCGAAAAAAGAAGGGAGGAGAGAAAGCGAAAAGTAAAAGTCAAGACTGCTGTGTCACTTTTAAACCCACTCAAAAGTGACACAAAAGTGTCACTTTTGCTTTCTGCGCATGCCCGAACTTCGCAAGCTGATATTTTGCATCTGGATCAGAAGGCCGCGAAGTGTACGACCTGTAAACCGGTTTGTGGTAAGTTTTAGCTCTTTATAGCACGACAGTGACCAGAAAACCACTCGACTAGCTTCAAAACGCGTTTTTCGGCAAAATCTCCAGGAGCGAATGGGTTAATACTGCACACAGAACGCACGCTTTTAATATCACGCGTTCACGCGCAGCGCATGCTAAAGCTGCTTGCTTCGAGTTAGTTCAGAGTCGTTGGGGCTTTTAATAATAAGCTACTTTTACTTTCCGACATCAAAATGCTTCATGTTTAACACTAATAGAGTGGAACTAAGACCAAACTAGCACATGCACAAGTCTTGCAATGTTACAACAAAGAAGGCGTTATATGCATGGAACCGTTACTTTCTTACTAATATATACAAAACATCTGTTGTGGCTCAATTTTATCTTCGGTTTAAATTTATTTTCTTTTGTTTGGAGGTATGGTAATGTATGATAAGGAGTTTTTAACAAAAGAAAATAACATTTAGGGCCTGTTTACATGGAGTGGGGGACCCCGGTCTAGTGGGGTTGGTTCTCTTTTGTTTTCACGCTCTGGGGGACACAAAACAAAAGAAACTTACCCCACTAGACCGGGGTCAACATATCATGAAAATGTATAGGCTCGTGAAAATGTACCACAACACTAGCATTTATGAATATAAATTTAAGACTGGAAAAGAAAATCAAAAATAGGAACTTTTGTCATCTCTATAAGTCAATAATATTCTTTGTAATTCACGTCCAAGAATCCACTCTTTTTCGCGCTGGAGGATTCTTCCCTAAACTGTTGATAATATTTAACAATTATTGGACCAGGTTGAGCAAAATATCGTGATTTGTCAGTAGCGAACAGATCAATTATTCCGCTGAGGCAAATAATTGATCTGCGAGACGCAAACTTGTCTCTAATTTTCAGCTATTGTCTCTGAGTGAACGGAAAACAGTGAGTCCACTTCTCCTCCAATAACTCTGTACTGCGTTTCCTGAAAAAAATAATTAGAACACATGTTTATGAATATGTAAACGCATAAATAAGATTCTGACTTCAATAAAACGAGACATTCAATGTAAAATGCCAGAATCGAGGATGAGTCAGTCATTAATGTACCGTCAATTGCAGCTAAGAGTGTACATATAACGAAAATACATGTTCTTACTGGGTGCAAAAATGACACCTTCAAAAGGTGCCCTATTTACAGGAATGCGGGAACAGATCAGTCAATGTTCGGTGACTTAGACTGCAAAACAGTCCGTATTTTTGCGTATTGAAGTACGCGAAAAACAAAAGGTCTTATTGAAAACAGAGAGCGAAAATTGACACCCTCGGGCGTTGGTGCCCTTCGCGCATTTACACGCCAATGCTTTACTGATTTTGAGAAAAAACCCGACTGTTTTGATGTTCAGTAACTGAATAATCGAGTAGTTGAGCGGCTTACCTGATCAAGTCTGAGGAACTCTGTCCGGAGAACAATGAAGAAAATTATAATCGAAGGAATTGACAAGAACAGAGCAATATCATACGCCGTCAGGAAATACTTTGGACTACCTGGGTAAAAAATTGTACAAGAATTGTTCATACAGTCGTTCCTCCTGTAAACGATTACTCAAAATGCGCAAATTTAGCGGTCGCTTACGGAAAGCGGACGCCTTCGGGAGGTGGTCGTTTACAGAAATTGAACCACAAGGTCTCCTGCGGGAACAGGTCTGGCACATCTACTGACTTAAGGGCAATTTGCTGCGGAAAATTTCTTAGGCTCGATTTCCGTCGCTATCCCGGTCTCCGGGGAAGGAGCGCGGGCTCAATTCCCGAACAGCGGCTGGTAATCGAGCCTAAGAATTTCTGAGTTCAAGCAGGAGTTCAAGTTAAAACAAAACACACGTTGTCGCTAAAAGACCATACTTGACATGTTCTAAAGTTCAGCCCGGCGTAGTACATACAGCGAGCATAGAGCTCAGACAAAGGGAGTTAAAGCTACGGTAAAACGGGCAACAGAAACGTTCAACTTGTTTTGCAACATTGCTACAAAACGACGTTTTACCATCCACAAATGAAACCTGTCCGTCAGGTTGTTGTAAGTTGCGTGAATACTGATTTTTGATTGGATAAAACCACGCCATACACGGGAGTTACGTCACTTGCTGCAAAACAAGTTTGCCTTGGACTGGGAAAACGCCCAAAACGCACAGATTTTGTTGCAAGGGGTAGAACTACTCTCTACCTCCCGCAACAACTTTTCGCAATCTGCAACAACCTAATTTGTTGTAAGACAGGTTTGAACGACGCTAGTAAAACGCTCAACATCGCTTTTCAACTCGTTTTACAGCAATGTTGCAAAACAAGTTGCACATTCATGTTGCCCGTTTTGCGAGCGGATAAAAAAAGGTTTCTGTTCACACGTAAGAACGGTGATTTCGGCGCGACTTCTCTAACGATGCGAAGCTGTGCCGCGCCGAACTCTAAAAGGAGGTCGCATATCGGATAGGTGTTAATAGCACAGTCAAAGCTCTCGTAAGCGACCACCTCAGAAATTAAAAAAAGTGGTCATAATAAGAGCTGCTCGTTTACTAGCCTGGGACCAGGCTCCGTATTGTGGGAAAAAGGAGAAAAAATCGGCGTTGGTGGGAAAAAAAATCGGCGAGCAAAGCGAGCCGAGAGGTAGTCTGGGGAGGAGAAAGGGTGACGGACCCCGTTTTTTTGCTTTTTTTTCCCCACTGCGGAGCCTAGTCCCAGGCTACTCGCTTACGAGAATAGGCTCTCTCGCGCGACCTCTCGCGCCCGCTTACGGGAGCAATCGCTAACGAGAGCTTTTCATTGCAAAGTTTAATTTCCCTCATAAAACAGTGCACCCTTTCGAAATTTTCTTGCAGTTCTTCCTTCCCCCACCCTGTACAAAGTTGAAACTCAGAAAAAAATTCTGGATACACGCGTCCAACGTTGTTTGTGAGGGGAGGGGTTGGGCCTGTATGAATTGGAAAACGCCCCAGAAATGCACATGTGTCCAAAGACTTTTGTCTATGGTTGAAGGTGGTCGTAACTAGAGATGGTCGACGGTGGTCGCAAGGAGAGCTTCGACTGTGTACCAGACAGATTCTCGAGCTAAGACATTCATTAGGGGACTATTATTAAACAAAATCAAGCAACCACGATGGCGACAGCAATGAGGACTTCCAAAAAGGCAATGTATACATTGCTTCCACTTCTCCGTTTGTTTGAACAAAGTTTTTCCATTGACTTCCCTTATTTTATAAGCTGTTTCCCAGTGAAGTTATTTTAGTACTCACATGAGCAACTCAAGCATGTTGACCAGATAAATGACGGAATATCCCCAGGCAAGGTAAATAATACTCCAGCAATAACAAGTAACTGGAAAGAAAATTAAATGCAAATCAAGAGCATATTTGAAGGTGGAGTTCAAATGAACAGTCCACATATCTATTAAGCTGGCCTTACCTTGACCACAAATATTGGACCGTCTTCATTTCTCTTTGCTGCGATTAAAACAGCCAGGACAACTGTGCTGATGCATTGACTCCAGAAAAAGAACATGTAAATCCAGTAAAATAGACCAGGTTCGTCCTTATTAACTTCTTCCCTGAAAAGGTAAGCCAAGATAAGGTTAAGATGGACACGAGGAATGTAGCCTGTGATCATGGTTCTATCAGGGACCTTAAGAAACGACGGCGGTGACGGCAAGATTAGTAAAACGACAACTCTTCACGTGTATCACACGTGTATCACGCTTTTTTTGTACATTTCCTTACCGTCATAGTCTGCTACACAGCCCTTTTTAGTGTCGTCACGCAACGCTCCTCCCCACAAACGTTAGTGGGGAGGAGCATTGCGTGACGACTCTAAAAACGACTGTGTAGCAGACTATTACCGTCACTGCACGAAAACGATGCCTTGAAACTGTCAAATTTCAAGTTTTGTGAAGGACGTGAACACAATGCAACGACCTCCTTTATCTTTTCCTGAAATTTGATATAGTCCTTGGAGCTCAACTCCAGAAAAAAATTGTCATCATTTGACGAATTGAGAGAGACGGAATAAGCGCCATTAAGTTTAAGGCAGTGCAATTTTTACTTCGATTTGCTTTCGAAATTCAGACTACGTGATGTTCTCAAAGAAATTTGCCTTTTGTCTTTTCATAAGTTATCCAGACACACGCACGTGGACAGGATGACATTTGAGATAAACAGTTCTCTGGGGTAACGTCACATGGTCTACAATCACCCTACAGTGCAGGCGTATTTTGAGTGGGCGAAAGCTTGTTCATGTTCGTATTGTTGTATCCGCCATCTTTGATTTTATGACAGAGAGAAAGATTGGGGAGAGAAGAAATAGTAACCCTTAGGGTAGGTTCGAGGGCTTGCCTGTTTTTATCTCTTCTCTATCCCCGCCCCCTCCCCGCCCCCTACCCGCTCAATCTGATTTACCCCATTTCCTCCTCTCTTTGGGAAGTTGCAACATGGCGACTTCTGGAGCAAAAACATTCACGCACCAAAAGAAAACGCCTGCACTGCAGGCTACGTCTACAATGGGAAAACAAAACAAAAGGAGTAGATAAGAGAGACAATGCCCAGAAGGTTATGGAAATGTATGACAGTAATAATAATATTCATGGTGATGTGTACTTACAGTTCTTCCAATAATATCATAAACAGGATAGCAAAGATAAATTGTGCCACAAAAACAGCTTCAGTTTTGCTGTTCTTTAGAGTCTAAACAAGGAGACGAAAATAAGAAAATGAGACAAACAAAAACGTTTGCGTCTTTAGCATTGTTCAGTTGGATGTAGTATGTCAAGCATGAGATGCAGTGTTTCATCACCAGATGAAACACCGAGAGGAGAGTTGAAATTACGACGCGCAGAAGAGTATTTTTGAGGAAACGAGGTGTTTCATCTGGTGATGAAACACTGTGTCGAATGCTTGATATTACTCCTCAAACAAAGAGATTTTAGCAGAAGAAATTAAGGATGCAAACATGATAATTTTTCATCTGATTTCCAAACACTCATTCAACAGTAATTTCCTTTGTATTCTCTTTATGAAGTATTAACGAGTTTGAGTAAGTTCAATACCATAACAATACGGCTTAATTTATTTTCCAGGTACAACATAGTAAAACAATAATGACTGCAATATTTAAAATTCTAATAACAACATAATATGAAAATATTTATTTACAAAAGCAAGGAATAACACAAGTACTAGACTTGCCACAAGTCGACTATGTGAGCGCCGCGACGTAAGTCGTGAGACGAGCGACATAAACCAAATGACCACCTAACCAGCAGAAACCGGAAACGGGCTTTGAGAAAGTCTACACAAGTACAGCAAGGCTGTGCTCTAAGAAAAATTGAAGGGAGCCCAGTGCTCTGCACTTGTGAAATCCAGTGTGCCCAGCATATGATTTCTATGAAAAAGCTAAGATTTTCTAGTCCCCCGAGAACAAAAGTTAGGTGCCACGGGCCACCGGGCTCTGTTAGACCACAGCCTTGTACAAGTCAAACCAGAAAGATCAGGTTTCTTTCGATCAGTTTTAAAAGTTTGATAATGTTGCCAGTATTCCCAAAATTGTTGAAATTCCACAATAACGTTGCTCAATATCTATTACAAATCTATTTCTTAATATTGTATGTGCTAGGCTTCAATTTAGGTAATAATTTAAAAGTACAAGTAAGAACAGGCCATTTCTGAGTTCCAAAAACTCTCACTTTCAAAATGAGGCTAAGTGCAAAACGTATCTACTAAAAAAGAGTTTTATATGCATGAGAATAAAAAAAATCATTTTCATATCAATGACTTCACACTTAGCCTCGCTTTCAAACGGAGGCTTTGGGGCAGGCACATTGGGAATGACCTATAAGCATTTCAACAAGGCATTTTTGAATAAGTGACTATGTCTAATTAGTAAAATCTAACTAGTGGTCTATTATCAATGCTGCGTTCTGATTGGTTGAGCCACTACTAGGCTATATGTTATAGCCCACTGAAAAGCTCGGGCTTTTTGGCAGCAAAAAAGGATTAAAGTCTAGCTTTTACCTAGCTAAAATTATTTTATTTTTGATATTTTTGACCAACTAGTTGGATTTTACCTTCAGCCTCATGGGCTATTGACTCAGAGCCCATTCAGGCTCGAGGAATAATTGTTAAATAAGCTATAGTTAGTAATACACCAAATAAATCACTATCTGGAACACAAGTATGAGGGAAGCCACTTCTGTTGTCTTTTAGACAGTGATTTCTCAGTGGATAGTTATCTGAATTTTGAACAACTGCAATCTACCATTTGGTTACGAACATAATGGTATTGACCACCTATTGCGAATAATTTATAAGAATAAAACTAAGAACAAACTGAATATTTACCCGAGTAGCTGCTGAAAAGACATTGTGCTGTGATGAACTGGATAAATCATCAGAACTCAAACTGTTTATCTCTTGTTGCATAAATCCTTGAATTGGGAAAGACAAATGCCAATTTAGCACCAACTGTCCCTGATGAACATTAAATACAAAATGTTCCTTATAGGCAATAAAAAACGTTGCTATGTGGTACGAAATTTTTTGTGGTATGTAAAGTCAAACAATCCTCTGACTTATTTTCATAGCATTTGTGAGAAGTGAAAAATCAGATCCAGTATGAAAACACCTGGAATCATTTTACTCTATTGTTTTAGCTATAACTGACAAAAAAATCAGTTACAACTAGGTTATTTCTCAGTAAGGCATAAATCATGCATTTATAGCCTTTATTAACAGTGATAGTTACATATACTGTAGATGTCTTTAAGAGAAAGCTTTCACTCAGGTTACATGTACATGTAGCAACTCAGGCGTATAAGTGATTGAAGTTACTTCTTAAAAGGATAACTACAAGAATTTTTAATGACATTTTTTCTAATTAATTTCTTTTAAATTCACTGGAAAAAATAACCGATTCCCATTTTTGGATATTTTAGGGTATTTAAAGAATACCCACAAAAATCCCAAATTTGGAAGAGTGGGACAAGTCCCAATCAGGGAACTTGGTTGGGAATTCCCTGGTTGGGACTTGTCTCACTTTGCCAAATTTGGGATTTTTATGTGTATTCTTTAAATACCCTAAAATATCCAAAAATGGGAATCCGTTATTTTTTCCTGTGATTACC